AATTGAATTCCGAACGCAATGTTGCCAAGTATATTTCAATTTCTTACAAAAATTAAAGATTTTCTCACGTGAATGCTTCGATAACGTAATTTCCAAGGCATTCATGTCATTCTGATGACTGAATATCACCGTGACATGGTACATGATTTCTGTTCAAGGCAAAAATGGAAAGTTCAGAGTAACGTTGCCAAATTGTGTACATTTATTTTACGACGAGACGCCTCCCAAAAAGAGAAAACCACTAAAATCATGTTTTGCTTCTCAAAAATATCTTCAAATTGGAGCTGAAAAACTCATCATTTATCGTAAAAATGCCTTAAAATGGTAATATAGAATTAAAAATTCGTCTTCTCTTTTAAAAAGCAATCCGATAGTATTGTATCTTAATAGTTTGCCTACCTTGTATGGTGAAAGAACCTGAAAGCACGATTATTCGCACGAAAAGCTCAAAAATATCGGCGTCTCGTCGTAAAATAAATGTACACAATTTGGCAACGTTACTCTGAACTTTCCATTTTTGCCTTGAACAGAAATCATGTACTATGCCACGGTGATATTCAGTCATCAGAATGACATGAATGCCTTGGAAATTACGTTATCGAAGCATTCACGTGAGAAAATCTTTAATTTTTGTAAGAAATTAAAATATACTTGGCAACATTGCGTTCGGAATTCAATTATCTCCGTCTGTAGCGTTCATTTACTATCGAGTCCTAATGTTTAGCCCATACTCATCAAAATTATAGCCCATGAAGGTACGTTTTCCGCCAAAAATCTCGGAAAAACCCTAATTTTATGATAAAAAAATTAATAATAAATTGGCAACACTGCTTCGAAAAGTTCACGATGGCTTTAGTTGCGCTTCTATTCGATCTCAGGGTAGTATTCAGCTCGTAGACCAATGCACTAGTCTGTTTAATTATGATGCATTGGACTATTAGTCCCGAATTCCTTCATTTTGGCACATAAAAATGGAAAATTGGCAACGCTGTGCAGCCTAAACGAGATTTCACTTCAAGTTGAAACTTTTCCCGGAAGTTTGCCTTACCCTTAAGCTTTCGTTTGAGCCTTGTCTCGTTGACCAACTCGGGTATAATAGTCCGTTGAACGATGATGATTCAGTATTTCGTGAGTACAGCGCATAAAAATGGAAAATTGGCAACGCTGTACAGCCTAAACGAGGTTTCACTTCAAGTTGAAACTTTTCCCGGAAGTTTGCCTTACCATGAGCTTTCGTTTGAGCCTTGTCTCGTTGACCAACTCGGGTATAATAGTCTGTTGAACCATGATGATTCAGTATTTCGTGAGTACAGCACATGAAACTGGAAAATTGGCAACGCTGTACAGCCCAAACGAGGTTTCACTTCAAGTTGAAACTTTTCCCGGAAGTTTGCCTTACCATAAGCTTTCGTTTGAGCCTTGTCTCGTTGACCAACTCGGGTATAATAGTCTGTTGAACCATGATGATTCAGTATTTCGTGAGTATAGCACATAAAAATGGAAAATTGGCAACGCTGTACAGCCTAAACGAGGTTTCACTTCAAGTTGAAACTTTTCCCAGAAGTTTGCCTTACCATAAGCTTTCGTTTGAGCCTTGTCTCGTTGACCAACTTGGGTGTACTAGTCTACTTATGCACCGGACTAATAGTCCAATATCCTTGATTTTAGCACATGAAACTGGGAAATTGGCAACGCTGTACAGCCTAAACCAGGGGTCACTTCAAGTTGAAACTTTGCATGGAAGTTTGCCTTACCATAGGCTTTCATTTGAGCACTGTCCGGTTGACCAACTCGGGTATAAAAAAAAGGGGCGAAACTTGGCGAGGCTCTTTGCATCCAAAATGTTTCTACTTTTTGCTTGGAATTTAGAGAGAAATCAGGGAAGTTTTCAATTAGAAATTCCCAAGAGTCTCTCGATTAATAGGCAATTTGCAAAGGGAAAATTTGGCAACATTGAAACGGAACTACGCTCCTTCGCCCAGGAGACGACGAATAGTAATTATTCTTCGTTTTGACATTAGCAACATGTCAGCTTTAACGGAAATTATTTAACTAAGTAG